TGCAGGCGCGGGAGGCAGCGGCGCCGGGGGCGGCGGCGCTGGCGGCGCTAACTCTGGCGGCGCGGGGAGCGACGGCGGCGGCGGCCAGTGCGCGTTCCGCTCGCTGGAGCAGACGCCGGTGTTGATATGCGACGGCAGCGTGGTGACGGCGCGCAGCAGGGCGTCCCGTCTCGGCGACTTGCCCGACGGCGCGGTACCGTCGTGGGTGGGGCAGGCCGTGCTGCACGCGCAGTTCTCTCCGAGGGCACCGCTCAAGCTCTCCTTCTTCCTGCAGCCGCACCCCGCCTCGGGCCTGCCGCTGCTGCCGCCCGACTGCAACAAGCTCGCCGCCGCGACCGCTCTCCGCCTCGACAAGGTCATCGCGTACGTCGAGGAGCGCGTCCCGTCGGGCAAGCCGCTCGCCCTCTTTGCCAGCGGCAAGCCGCTCGCGCCCGACATGTCCCTCGGCGCGGTGCGCGCTTTTGTATGGAAGTCGGCCGACGAGATGGTGCTGCAGTACAAGCAGGCCTGACGCGACTCAGCAGCAGCCCGGGGGCCAGCGTGGGGCCGTTCCAGCGAGGCATCTCCTCTCTTGCGGCCCGGGGTGCGAACGGTTGCCGCATGACGGTTGCGCACGCCCATATGGCCTACCATTCCACACTGGTGTGAATACGTCCCGAACCCATACTTGGGACCCGTAGCATATGGTGCGCACGCCGCATGCACACCACAGCAGGCGCCAGCACCCGCCAGCAGAGGAGGCGCGTGGAAAACGGCTCTCTGCGCGTGAAACGTATTAATACAACTCGCACACGTGCACCCCGAGCCAGCTGCACGCGTCCTCTTGTTTTACCGTTCTGTGGGGGGAGCAGGCAAAGACAAAGTGCACTCACGATTCGTTGTTCGTCAGCCGCTCTAGGAGCGCCTTTTGCTCGGCGTCAACGCGAGCGAGCGAGTCACACTGCGCCGTCAGCCTGTCCAGCTGCGCCTTCTTCTCGTTGATCATCGCCTGAGAGGCGCAATCTGGTGTCTGTGGCCGGAACGCGGGAAATGGCTCTTTACGGCCGCAACAGGGGGCGCCTGCATCTCCAGTGCCTTGCGTTTCCGCGTCTCTGGCTCTGCCTCCACACGGTTGCCGAGCCCTATGGCACGGAGCTTCTCCGCCTCGATGAGCGTGGCGCGGCTCTCCATGACGGAGACAAAATCCGCAACGATCGCGCTAAACTGTGTCGTCCGGTTCAGGAACTCGGTGCACTCCTCCTGCAGCTCCGCCGACGCCTTGGCCTGCCCAGGAGGAAGGAGATGCAGCCCGTCGCTGTCGGCGTGGATTCCCTGCTCCGCGAGAGCCGCTGCCGCCGCGCTCATATTCGCGCAGGGCCTCGCTGGCTGTGACCTTTGTCGACGGAGCAAGCCGCCCCGCGCCGCGATCGGCGGAGTCCCGCCGCCGCCCTGTGCAACGCGCGAAGCGGGGAACGTTTCAAAACAAAGAAATACGAACGGCATGGGTGCCACAGGCGCATTCAAGAAGGGGAAAAGAAACGGGGAATGAGGGGCCCCGCCACGAGGAGTGCGTTTTGGGGATGCAGAGCGTGCAAGGCGGCTAGGGATGAGGCCGCAAAAAAGGCGCGCGGGCAAGGAGGAGAGATGGAGAACGGGGAGACTGGGACGATTGGACACAAGAAGACAGTGAGCCACCACAGGCGTCGTTGGCGCACATACTGAGCGGCAGCTGCGCTGGGAAATAAGGAAGAGGCGCGTTACTTCATGCGGAAGCTGACAAACACACGGCGAGGGCGCTCTGGGGGGGCGCGGGGGCCCCCGGAGGCACCGTGCGCCGCGCAGCAGTACGGAAATGGGGCTCCGGCTCCGTTAGTCTCCGTTAGCACCAACTTCCCGATTAAGTACGGTTAAGTAGAGGGCAGATTTGGGGAGAACTCGAGGAGTACATACAGATAGACCCTCCAACCATCAGAAAACTCCGACCTGATTGGTCGTACTGACCGCCGACAGATCACTCCAGACAGCAGACAGGCCGACGTCTGCACACGGCCGGCCGGGCGAGAGGCTTGACACGATCCGACCCTGCGAGACCCTGACGCTGCTGCTCTAGCTATCAGACATGCACTGCTGACTGCTGCCACAATGTGCGACCGGTGCTGGCCCACTTGGCGGCCTTCCCGGTCAGTGGTGAGGCGCAGTTCAGAGCTGTCGATGGCGCGATGCCGCACTGGTCCCACATTGGTAACACGAGACCACCACGTTTGCCGGTCCAAGAGAGAGGCACTGGTGCTGTCCTGAGAAGGTGCGTGGTCCCTCTTGACTGCCCTGCGCGCGAGGCTGTGTAGGCATAGCCTCGAGAGTGCCAGCAGCCAATCCGAGGCGACGCGCATTGCGTCAGAAGCGTGCACACGTTGGAAGGACACCTTCCGACTGGCCGTACGATCAGGTCGTCACTGAATGCTTGATACTAAGGCCGCGAGCTATGCAGGTGATCAATTGTGCAGCATGGCACGGTCAGCAGCGCCGACAGGCTGTCGCAAGGCGTGATAGCATGGCCGCAAGTACGCCGAATTCCCATGAAAAAGTGAAAAATCGCGCAAAAAAACCGAAAAAATTGGCGCCTGCGGCGGGCCATGGGACCCCATCGCCCCCCCGCATGGATACCCTCTAGGGCCCCCGCGCCCCCCCAGAGCGAGGGCGACAGCAAGAGTCGAACGGGCGGCGCCTGACTCAAAAGACACAGCCGCATTCGTGAGACGCGCGAGGGCAGCCTCCTTAAAGGCAATGGGGTCTAGATTTGGAGCGCTCGTCGAAGAGGAGTACGACAAAATAGCGCCCGTGATTGCCTGCACGCTGCCCGACGGAGATGCGAGAATCACAATCAGGCGAGAATTGAGAAAAAACCACCCACACGACCCCACGGCCAATTTTGCTTGTGGTCACCACTGCGGTAACGACATCGTCGTCACAGTGTTGGCGGTATTGCGTCACCCCTCCCACGCCGCGCCCCACGCACACCGCGGCCACACCTTCCTCTCCTGCAGGAGCACGTGCAGGAGCCTCCTGCTGCGGCTCCCGCCTCTCTCAGCTGGGGGCCCCTATCCCTATCACTAATCCTATCCCTATCACATCCTAAAATCCATCGCGCTGCACTAGCACACCGGGCTATCCGTCTTTCCTGCTCTTTTTGCGGGGGCCGTGGCCCTTCTCCGGAGGCGCTGACTGCACGTCGACATCGCTGCGCTCGTATGCGTTGGCGCTCTGTAGCCGCGGCGCGGCGTGGTGAGTGGGCAGGCCGCGGTACGTCGCGCGGGTGGCGGCGGGCGGGCGCGGGGCGCGCCTGCAGCTCGTCGAGCTTCGCCTTGACAAACTCGACCAGCGCTGGCTCGTCGTCGCGCAGCAGCAGCGTCCGCTCGTCGAGGTCGCGCAGCACAAAACTCGGCGCCTGGCTCGCGGCGCGCCGGTCCTCGTCAAGCTTGAGGATGAACTGCTTGATCGCCGGCCCGTCGCACGCGAGCAGGACGCCGCCAGTGGCGTTGGGCATGAACCCGCGCTTCTACCCAGGGTTCGGGTTCCTGCGCGTGGGGGGTGGGCGCGCTAGCAGGATGCTGTGGTCTGGCTGTGGTCCCGCTTCTCAAAAGGCATATCTACTCCCCATGACGCCACACGCGGGCCCATCACTAAAGGCGTATCTACTCCCCATGACGCCACACGCGGGCCCATCACGTAGCCGCCGCGCGCAAGCGCTTCAGCACAAACACCCCGCCCCGACCGCCCCTGGAGACGCGCACCTCATCATCACAGTGCGTCGTCCGGAGCGTCCCCACGGGGGACGGGAGCGGGATGCGCAAGGCACCGCCGCTTGAGCGGGCGCCGCTGCGCTGCAGCGCGAAGGAGCACTCGGTGAAGGTGACATCCAGCAGCGGCTCCGTTTCCGCCGCCCCGGCCTCCGCCACGCGGCCGTCGACGCGGATCTCGAGGATCGAGGGCAGGAACGGCAGCGGTATGCGCACGCGGTTCTCGACGACGCCCGTGTCGAGCGAGAGGGCCTGCTCGTTGGAGGCGCCGCTGCGGCCATCCTGCTGCGCTCCCGCCAGCGCCGGCGCCACCTTGAAAAACGCCGCGTAGGTTGCGTCGATGAGCCCTTGCACCGGGCTCGAGGTGCGCGGCCGTGACGCGTCGGGCAGCTCCGCCTGCGTCGAGAAGATCAGAGCCCAGCGGCCGTCGGGCGGCGCGCTAGTCACGCTGCACGCCTACGCGCACGGAGCTGTCGAGAGTGGCAGCAGTGGTGTCTGATGGGTTAGCTGCTCACGAGATGGATCGCGCCTCGAGGTCGGCGACGGCCGCCAGGACCGCATCCCTCGCCGCACCGCTCGGGCTGCGCTTGAGGGTCGCGACCGACGACAGCAGCGCGCGCTTGCGCTGCTGGACCACGGAGGGCGCTGAAAGCGCCAGGGCGGTGGCGGGAGGAAGGAGCATCCCGGCGAGGAGCATAGGTCTGTGTGTCGAAACGAGGAGGGCGGGGTTGAATGGGCTAGCGCTGTGCCGGCGTCCTCCCAGACGTGTCGCTCGTCGAGGCCGAGGTGCTGCCCCCCGGGCGCAAGCTGTGAGACCTCGTTGCGCCAAAGACAATTTTAGCGACCTTGAGAGAGAGAGATTTTTAGCAATACCTTGTGCGTTTCAAAAGGAAGGGAAAAATTCTGGCCTCACCGAGTCACATCCGAGCTGAGCTGGGCATCGAGGCAGACATGGCACCAGAGGAGGTCAGGAGGAGCAGGCGGCGGCCACGGAGCCACCGTAAGGATGGCGACGCACCTACCTGCGGCGTCAGTGGCATGTATGTAGGTAGGTAGGTAGAAAGGTGAAGAACAGCCAGGATCATCGTGGGAACATGGTAAGGGAAATAGAAGAATTACCGTTCTTCGGTACCAACGCCTCCGTTGCCGCTCGCTTTGGGCCAGCAGCTCGCCCAGCGACCTGTCAATGGCGGCCACCCAGCAGCTCAACCCGAACGCCGATGTGCTCAAGTCGGGCCAGGCGTCGCTGATGAACATCAACGCGGCCCGCGGCCTGCAGGACGTGCTCAAGAGCAACCTCGGTCCCAAGGGCACGCTCAAGATGCTTGTCGGCGGCGCGGGCGACATCAAGCTCACCAAGGACGGGAACACGCTGCTGCACGAGATGCAGATCCAGAACCCGACCGCGTGCATGATTGCGCGCATCGCCACCGCGCAGGACGACATCACCGGCGACGGCACCACCTCCGCCGTCCTCGTCGTCGGCGAGATGATGAAGCAGGCAGAGCGCCACCTCTCGGACGGGGTGCACCCGCGACTGCTGTGCGAGGGGATCGAGCTGGCGAAGACGTCGCTGCTCGAGTACATCGACCGGACCGCGCTCGCCAAGGACTGCGCCGACCGCGACCTGCTCCTCCAGATTGCGCAGTGCTCGCTCCGCACTAAGATGCACCGCGAGCTGGCGGACATGTTTACCGCCATCTGCGTGGACGCGGTGCTGACGATCCGCAAGCCGGACACGCCGCTCGACCTGCACATGGTCGAGATCATGCACATGCAGCACAAGGCAACCCTCCTCCACTCCCGCTTGCCTCCCCTGCCCTCTCCGCACCACCCTCCTGCCCTCTCGCCCCTCGCCCCGCCACATCCCCGCCTTGCCCGGACACCCCCCCCCCCCCACCACCCCCTCCCACGCCGCACCCACCCGCTCGCGGCTGCCAGCCGCTCCACCCCACTGCCCGGCCGCCTGCTCCCCTCCCCCCCCCGCTCCTCCCCCGGATGCTGCCCTTCTCCCCTGGCTGCTCTCCTCCCCTTGCTCTCCTCCCCTTGCTCTCCTCCCGGTCCGCCCGCTCCTGACGGCCCGCTCCCGACGCGCGTCTCCTCGCTCCTGCAGGCGGGCACCGACTCTCGCCTCGTCAAGGGCCTCGTCCTCGACCATGGCGGGAGGCACCCCGGCATGCCAAAGCAGCTCAGCAAGGCGCTTGTCCACCTCGAGCGCACTCGCAGCCCGTA